GTTGCATAAAATACGATGTGAATTTAAAGCGTTCCAGTCTTCCAGAGGTTAGTATTCCTTTGACAAAAAACTCGTAAACATCTTCAATAGGAAAAAAATCATGAAAACAGGAATTTCTTATACGCTGGAGATCATGCAAGAATTGTAACCAATCTTGTTCTTTTAAAGTGACGGAGTTGACCTTACGACAAAAATCTCGGGTTATCTTATTCAAGATACCTTTAATTTCTGCTTTGTCTTTTTCATTAACCATTTCTTCCAGCCTTTGAACAGTAATAGAATAATTGTATTTCTTAAGAAGCTCAGCAACTTCCAACCTTTTATTCAATTGAATGGTTTCATCATTTCGCTCTTTGTCCAATAAGAATTGACTATCTGGTTCTGGAAATGGTTCAACGATGTCGAGTTCAGCATCCAATTGATCCATACGTTCATTTACATAGATATATTCGAGACCACAATCAACCAATTCTTCTTCACTTTGATTTATTAGATTTCAAATTAGAGGCCAATAACGGAACGACGTTGAATGACCTCAAACATTCAATCTTTGAATTGCGGAACCTCAGGTTTGAATCTGCGATCTGTAGCATCCAACGTTCGTGAGTTATGACTAGCCGTTTGCGATGAAAAACGCCGAATACAAGCATTACAAGTACAGTAGAGTTCAAAAACTGACAGTTAATCAATTGATCGTAACTCAGTCAGCGATTAATCAATAATTTGAAACTCATTCAATCAGTTCTATGATGTTTGCTGAACAATAATTCATTAGAATTGATATTTTGTATTAACTCCATCCGCGTCAAAAAATGCATGAATTCTGTTTGGCATTGAATGCATGAGGGAAGTTATAAAATCTAATAATATTTCTATGTAGTTTTTTAGAAATGATGCAAGCAATTAAAATTGAATAAATAGCCGATTAAGATATTTTTCATCTTAATTTATATGTCTATCAATTCTCTATGATCTAGTCTGTAAAATGCAAACAAATTTTCGGTTCCGATCTATCTTCTGATCAGAAATCTCAATTTAAACGTAAGACTGTCAGTTTTTTTGACCGCTACTGTATTATACAAAGTACAAGCTATAAAAATTTTACTCCAGTCTTTTCATGAAGTCTATTCTAGAAACTTGAAAAACAAAAATTTGAACTTTTATTTCTAAATAATGCGAACTTTTTATGATTTCAAAAATAGCTTTCTCTCCAATCTCAGTTAAAAATATGACTCGATTCGAAATTTGCATAGAAAACGGTTTAATGTCACATATTTAGTTCTTTATAATTTATCAAAATCAAATAATTAACTCACTGAATGTGTCTGAATAGTCTCTTTTCAATGGTCAAATTACACCTGGAAACTGATAAAATCATCCAATTGTTCTGAAATAAAAGATAATTTTACCAAATTCGTGATTCCACGCAATAAATGTCTAATAATTTTCAAAAGCAGCAAAAAACGACAAAAAAACTTGTGTCATTTTAACTTCAACCTGTTCCATAGCCATAAGAAATGAAACGTCGAGTGAATCGCACATCAAGGTTAAAGTTGGTATAAATTTTGTGGGTCAACATCAATGGGAATCATAATTGTCAACGTTAACTCAAATTTATCTTTAGCTATGTGCCAATTTAACCAATTACAAGATGAAATGTATCAAATGAAATTAGGTTAATAAACTAACCAATAATAATCACAGCTGAGAACTAAAAAAGCAAAGCAAAAAAAGTCATTTTGCAACAAAATTTAAACTCGCAATAAATTAGTTTGCAAACAGAATCAAATCAAATTGATTCTCTCCATGCAAACATATTTCATGGATGACAACTTTACTCTTGATAACTTTAATCACTCCAAATGCATCTGAGACAAATATTTACATTTAATTAAACGTTTCAATTTTTAGACAGATTTACATGAGCGCAAGATATGAACAATTGAAAAAAGGTAAAAAACTTGAAACGAAATATTCAAATGTAATAAAGGTAAAAATGTATAATCAAATAATGAACCAACAATTTTCCATCAAACATTTCATTTTCAAATTACTATTTCAATTGAAGAAACTTGCAAGTGATGAGTGATCAGATGGAAAAAACTCATCATTTTTCATGATTCTCATCACAGCAAGATTATCATGACAATGAGTGCACGAAAAGAAATGAGAAAAGAGATGAAAAAAGAGGAAAAAACTGAACTTCTCTCTTCTATTCAAATTGAGAATCATTGAAAATACCTTTTAGGCATCACCTTTATCCTCATCATTTTGCATCATTTTCATCTTAAAATTTACTCTCAATTTTGTTGATTCCCTTCTCATCATGATCATCAAAAGATGTATTCTCATCTTCTTATTAAACATGATTCTATTGTAGTTTCAAAGTTCTGTAAATTTCCCAACCAATTACTCGGAATAACAAAACCATTTAACTGATTATATTTTTGGAACCAAAAGAGGCTTCAATTGAAATTTATCTCCAGAGATGTTTATGTACTTAACAGTAAATAGACTGACAACGAACTTTTCATTTTTCCATTCTCTATTCAGTGTCAATAAATTACATGGAAATTGTCCGTTTCTCACATTAATTACAGATGTTTGACTACTTCGTCAACTTTGGATTTCTCTATTGAACCAGAGTTCGATTTTTTGATGAACCTTTTTGTACGCTTTCATTGGCACCAAGGTTTCACTTTTGTTCATTTGACCCTTTTTCGGATGAAACATTTTCTCATCTTTTTTCACTTTCATTCAATTCATCAAAATGATTGGCAGTATTCAGGGAAAGTAAAAGTTGCTTTTTTTCGAGTTTCGTTTTTTTACCTTTCAATGTTTAACAAGTTGAATGATTCTTTTTTTTCTCTCTCTTCTTGGTTCATTGTAATTCATTGAATCTCATGTGAGTCATTTAGTGGTTTATAATTATGATTGATTTGAATTCATGTGATTCATTGATGAAGAAAATTTTGATTAAATTAAAAGTGTTTATTGGTTTGGGCAAGAGAAGAGGAAAAACATTCATTTTAACTCATTTTTGCTCGCTCCTCTGATTCAACACTTGAAAGTCTGTAGATTGATAAGAATCTTGATTCATGAGAAGTGCTTCTGTTTCGTGGGAAAAGTAATGAGGAGAAACTGTCAACTTCCGTTTAGTTTAAAATTTTATGTTTAACTGTTTAATTCGGGTTAACCTTGCCTGGCTGACAAACTCATAGACTTTTAATAATGTGAATCTTGAACAAAACTGAGACTCAAAATTGTTATCTCAACAAATCAATTGTCTTGTTCAGTCTGGTTTCTTTCTCTCCAGATCTTTATTCAGGGAAAACATCAGGGGAATATTTCCGCTTCTTTGTCAAGGTTTGTCATAATGATGACGATGATTATAGCTGTGATAATAAGATCACACTGATGATATAATTGTGCTAGATGATTATGATGAGATTGAATATGATAAACAAATAAAAGTGGCAACTTTTTTCTTCACTCATTTACGCGGTAATTACAATTGATTGTTGTTTCTTTCATGGCGCTCCATCAACCTGTTCTTTCAAAAATGATAATTCAACCGTTCTCTATGAAAATGATGATTTGATCATTGCACGTAACTTTGCATGTCATCATATTTGTGTGTTTACTTGTCTCTCTCTCTCTCTTCCTCTCTTTCCCTTTGTAATCATTTTGTCATGCAAAATTCATGTTCAGATAACTTGAAAACCATGGTTAAAATAGTAAACAAAATTAACAGAAAAGGTCTCCCACTCAATGAGGTAATCGGAATGAGATTTGGCATATTTTTCCTTCGCTAAAAGCAATTTTCAATAATCATAATCGAAATGATTCAGTCGCTTTCTTAAAGCATGAAAACTCAAAATCGATCATTGAAAGTAAATAACATTGACTGCTATGTAATAGGCACCAAGTATTGTTGAGGTCAACCCAAGCCTTCATGCTTCTAGGTTAAGCTTCAACACTTGCTTTGCTGCACAAAAACAGTCAATTTATGGGAGGAAAATTTCCATTTGTTTTCGTTTCAATCACAAAGCAAGTTCGAAGTTAGACATTTCGAGGGTTTAAAGGTGGATGTCATCTGTTCAAAAGTTTCTCTGGTCGATAGTTTTCGAGAAAATTGAGTTGAACCAATGTAAACAGTAAAAAAATCAAAGTTCAACTTACTCTTCCTCTACTAACTTTACAGCCTTTTGGTAATTTTTCAAGTGAAATGATATGAAATGTTTATTAGGATCAAATCAACTTCAGTCATCAACTGTTATAATGATAAAATACATTGACTTTAATCAGTTTTTTGGCACATTAATAATGCAAACCCAATGATACTTTAAACTATAGTTCAACTTTATGTAAACGTTTTATTTGAATTTGAATGGTGATTTGAAAATTGCAAGTTTGTATCAACAGAAGAAAAATCAGTTATTTTTGTGTAAAAAAAGATTTATTTTTACTCTGTTCAAGCCAAACTTCCGTTGGTATTTGATAATGATAGACTTTATTGAGGAAGGTATATACGAGCAGATTGCATTCGTATGCGTTAGCTGCAACTGACCATAACATTGTTTATATCCACAGGTCAAAGCTAATTAAAGGTTTTATTTACATGTTATTAAATTTACAGGAAATGGGAAAACATTTTCAATTTGAAACATGAACGACACTAAAAGAAGAGCAAAAAGACTTGTCCTAATCACTTTCAAAGATCATCCTAATTAACAATGTGATTATCTCCTTCCTTACCTTGATTAATCTATTAGCTTATTAATATATCCGGTTCAAGTTTAAAAATATATTCAATCTGACAAGAAAAGAGCAACTTTTTTACCTTTAAAAACTCGCTTTTTTCATTCCAAATGATTAACTTGAAATGTAATAACCGACAAACAAAAACTATCTCAAGTTACAGCCTCAGACATATTCAGTACAAAGAACAAGTTTAAAGCTCACCTTTTTTTACCTTGATTATCAACTAGAGACAAAGGTTAATGGAAAAGAGTTTATTTTTAAAATATTTACAATTTCAATATCGACTAGACAATGGTTCACTTTGAGATATCTTAACTGTTGTTGGGTTTGCCTTTGATTGACCCAATGAGAGATAAAATTTTATCGACGATTAACAGGTAAACATCTACCCATTCCCTTGGAATCGACTGGACAATCATGTTGAGTGGCTTTTGAAGAAACGAAGCTGGCTGCTCTACATACTCTGGAACTGGACTGATCACTGATCGAGTGACGCACCTAATCACATCTTGGTACGTTTCATCAAGTCCCATTGGGCTTGTGTGCAATAGTTCAATGGCTTGCTTCACTTGGTCTACTTGCTCTTTGCCATACACTTGTTGTACACTTGGCACTGTATTGGTCCACATTTCATCGATTCGTTGGTTTGAAATTTGTGGATCCATCATGGGAGTTCGAGCAAAGACTGGTTCAACGGAAACAACGGATACTCCGAAAGGCATCATTTCCAACCTTAGACCGTCAGCAAAGCAAATGATTGCTGCCTTGGACATGGCATAGGCTGTCATGAATGAAGAGGTAACTCGACCGCCAAAAGATGAAATTATAATTACTCGACCGAAAGATTTTCGAAGAAGCGGCAGGAAAGCTCGGGTAACTTTGACAACACCAAACGTGTTTACCTCAAAAAGCGAGCGAAAGTGATGATCGAAAGTTCCCCATTCCAGTTTACCGGTTCGACTGAGACCGGCATTGTTAATGACTGCCCATAAAACGTCACCTGGAGTTGCCTCCAAATGAGAGGTGATAAACTCGACTGCATAATCAATGTAATGATCGTTGGTTACATCCAATTTAAAGATAATCATTCGTTCCTTGTTAGACGCATTTTGCTTCAGCAAGGCTGCACCCGAACTCGTTGGATCATAGCACGAAGCAAATACTTTGAAACCAAGAGAGTTCAAGCTCAATGCCATTCCATGGCCCAAACCCTGGTCACAACCTGACAGCAATGGAAGAAAATCATAAAACGAGATTCAAGAAAACAAAATTCAACCAAAAGCTGAAAACCAACTTTCGACTCTTGACCTAATTTGCAATGACTTTTCCCTTCAACTAAACTAGAAATCTGAGCCTCTCAGACCTGACCACAACCTCAACGAAAGTAATTTCAGTTCAATATAACGTTGACGTTAACCATGATGAAGCTGACCGTATACTTGAATCACCTGAAGGCTAATTTGAAACAAGCTTTAGCTGCAGTAGAGTGAGGTCAGTTGAGTTCAATTTGAGGTTATCAGTATCTTGATGAAAGTTGATTTGGTTCAAGTTAAACGTGAAGACTGAAAAGACGAAAAAGTTGGTTAAAAAGTGTTACAACAAACTTACCCGTTATCAGAATAGATTTATTAGTTGGATCAACAGATTTACAAAAGATGAACACAATGAATCGCTTTAGAGGTGAAACAATTAGCCAACAAACTAAAAGGACACTCAACAGGCCACCAGGAATACTAGCATAGAGAGCAATGTTGGGAAAAAGTGAAACCATAATTGCAACAGTTGTAATCAAGAGGCCAAAAAGAAACCATTTTAGTCCATAAATGCCGGTTGATTTGCGTTTAGAAACTACTGTAACACAGAGAGAAACATTGCAGTGTTTGAATTTAAATGATGAAAAAAAAATGAAAAATTGAAATCTTACTTTTTGGCTTTTCCGTTACAAAAGAGGCCGGCGAAGACATGATGGAAACAGACTAGACTTTAATGTTTATTTATCACGAAATCAAAATTTTTTCAGTTGAAATATTGTCACAAGCATGGCACGGAATTTTGGTTAATTACTTTGGATTGTCGGCAATATTAAACATTCATTTGTAGCACGCACTTTTTGTCTCATAAACAGAGATTTAATTCACTGTAAAACATTTTAAAGTAAAAAAGTTTGTTGTGAGTTTTAATCGAAATGAAATGAAAAAGAAAAGTTTATGAAAAGAAACTCGAAAAGCGGTTATTGAAGTATAAAGAGGAGGTCACTAAAGCAATCATATTCATTTGGCCTTTCATATTCTGAATGTTGATTAACTAGTTAACCTGATATATCAAGTTTTACAGCATCATGATGCTCATTACCAGATTAGCCGAGCTTTAGTTTTTCACGCTTTATGCTGAAACAAGAAAAAAGTTTCTCTTTTTGTTTCTATTACAACTTGGCTTGACTTGAAATGAGACCTAATAAAGTTTCACCCAAAACTTCGAGAAAAAGACAATTCTGATTTGGATATACATCCAAAGACAATCGATGATCATTGAGTTTTAATATGCACAGAAGTACATTCGGCAATTTGTTCTGCTAAACATCAGTCAAGGGATTAGAGTCATTGAACAAACGCTTCCCGATTGCCGAAAAGGTGTGTAAACAAGAAATGCTGTTTCCTCTTCTAATGGCATAAGATTGCGTTTTCGCATCAATCATTAAACACATTCAAACTCTGTTAACCCATCGTTACATTGTCATCATGCAAAGATTTATCTGATTTCGTAGAGTTATATCAAGAGACTTTAAAGAACCAAAATATCATGACTATGGCATTCTTTCCATCATAGAGTTTTCATAGAAATTGAAAACTTAATCATTCTTTTCGAGGAGGAAGAAGATTAAAGAAGTATCGCAGACTGAGCCCTCATTTTGATACTTTAACTTTAAGGTATTAATAGTTAAGGAATCATTGATTCGTTACGAAGCCTGTCAATTTGGGACATCAATTTTTCGCTGTTGAATTCATGTGCGGATATAATTTCGCCCATATCGATTTACGCATCTTGATTTTATTGGCTTTCAAACGCTTGGACCTTCAATTTAATCATCGAGTATTTTTGACAAACAAGAAGAGAAGATTTAAAACAAGATAATCATCAGCTATCAATTCAGTTCAGTTGAATGAATCAGGTCAAATGAGCACATTTGATGTAAACTTTCAGAAGCTTTAAGATCAACTTAATAATAGGGATTTCATGTTTCATTGAAATAAACAGTTTAATGCTTTTCCGTCTTTTACTTTCAACTTTACCATCACTTTTCAAAGTATAATAAAGTAGAAATTTGACTGGTTTTGGACTCTTTTCAGTCAAAGAATGAAGGTTAAGATCGAAATTATGACAAAGATGATTATGATTATGAAACAGATGAAAGTATTTATGCACCATTTTCATTTCAAATGCAAGTGCGAAAACTAAGAACGAATAACTCTTTGAAACGCTGTTAAGTTTGCAGTCTTCTTCAAATAAGAGTAAAGACATTTGCACAAATAAGAAGTTAATACTCTAGCAGATTTACTTGCTTATTGCTGTACAATCGAAATTTGGTTGAGAATAGTTTGCAAAAAGAACCATCTAGCAATATTGATCGCTAAAAATAAACTTCATAAGACTGGTAAATGTGATTGGAAATATTACAAATGATACAAAGATGCTTGGACGACTTTCCATTAACCTTTTATGTCTGTATCTTTACCCATCGCCCATCGGACTTGCTCAAGGCTTAAAGTGTTCAATGACATCGGTAGTGTTTCCCAGTCTTTTATCATCTTAAATTTGTCCTCTCAAGGTAATCATCATCATCTTTTACCTGAAGCAATGTTCAAGTTAAAGAACTGAGAAACATCCAAATGATGAAGCAACTGACCATATCCACTGAATCATGCAATTAATTGCTTACAATTGAAACAGTTAACTGGCTCAATCATATCCCTAAATGAAAATACAACGAAAGTGCAAGCAACGAATCTGGAGATCTCATAATGAGTCCGTTTAGCAAGTCTAACTACACACTGAGAAGGGTCAGATCATTGTTATTCAAATAATGGTTGTCTGTGTTAACTAACAATGTGAAGGTGATTCGCAAAGAAAAATGCTCGAGTCAATATTCCTGTCTGTGCACTTTATTAGCTCGATTCTTTTCATTAGAAGTTAAAAAGCATGAAAATTCACTTAAATGGGTGAATAAGTTCAAGACTTGTAACATAAATTGAAATTTATTTGGAAATCGGCTCAATTCTATTGCAATACATTGCTATTTTTAATTAAAAGTACCTAAATATCAAAAACCGCACACCGGCGTAAAAAAAGCAAAAATACGTGTCTAATTATTTTTTGCCCTCTACAATATAAAGTCGAAAAAAATCGAAAATGATCGTACAAGCAAGGTCACTTCCCTTGTGAGATTTTTAGCAAAGCGCGCTTAATCGTGACAATAAAGATTGAAACAAAGTGTGAGCTAATCGTAATCATCTTTATTCATCGTTTCATGAATGATGATCAATTACTGAGAGAATAAAGAAGATTCAGAATAATTGTGAACTCAAATTGAAACAAACAATTAACACAATTTTTAATTTGGCTCAACTTGCAACTGCAGAAAATCGGTTCAATAACTTGTTCAATGGGCGAAATAAAAGTTGAGTTACTGATGATAATTCAAAGATAATGATGCTTGGAAGAAAATTGAAAAATGTCTTCAAGAGAGAAGAAGAAATCTTTTTTTTCTCAACAAAAAATGAAATTTCCAGGTAAATTGATGTCGACTTTGTCATTGAGATTTTCTTTCTTTCCGTACTTTTCATTGTTGAATCATTTTGTGTGTTGTTCAAGTGTATTTTGTTGCATCAAATAATGATGATTTAAGGGTTGTTATTTCATCAGGCAAGCGAGAGAGAAAAAGATCTTCAGGAAACATTCAGAGTGAAATGGTCCATGTCAATCATGAAGAGATGGAGAAACTTCGTAGGTGAAGAGGAAAATGAAAAGGTAAACGTTTTTTTCTCTCGTTATTACAAAAAGAAAAATGATTTTCAAGTTTTTTCTCTCAGAGTTTCTTTAAAAGCATTTACTCAGGTAAGGAAATTGTTATTGATACTTATGATAAACATGATAATGATAACCTTTTCCTTCACCTTCACCAGTCTTGGTGAACAAAAAAACTCACAATAATTGGAATGAAATTGTTGCTTATTGAGCTTCTGTAAATGACCTCAATCCTGAGTCTTTTAACGCTCATTGAATCAACATGAGTCCAACTAATCAAGTTGATGAATGATGAATTTCGCTACTTTTATTCACATTTCATTGATAATTTCCATGAAAAATCGAATCATTTATTGTTCAAATTGTAAGATTGAGGAAGTTTTGGTTATGAAAATTCAAATGAAAAGTTGGTAAAAGAATGAAATTTTGTAGAGAAAAAGAAAAAATTGGAAAAAAATTGTTGACAGTTGAGAAGCTTTTCGTTTGTGCCATTTTGCTTTGGTCCGATCCAAGGTTTTGGTCAATCAGTTTGCAAATGAAAATTGAGGTTAAAAAATGAACTTTTTACTGAGAAAAGAAAGCAATTTTGACATGAACTAAACTAATGATTTGGGTGGAGATTAACTTGTGAGTGACTTTTTATTACTTGGGATGAATAATGGTAATGATAATGGCCAATTGGAAGCCCATCAAAGTGAACCTTTATTAGTATCGAATCAACCTTTTTTGTCATTAAAATGTTCATTTTTTACACACGTTTCAAGTTTCATGTCACAGTGTTTTAATGTGAATTAAGCCGATGATGAATTGAAAACTGCAAGTCAGGTTGACTTGTTATTCTGGGTAAATCAATGAGTCTGGCAAATTGTTACCATTACATGAAACTGTTGAAAAGAATGGATTTATTGAACTCACATTTAGTCATCACTTTTGTCACAAATTCAATCAATTATCAACTTTTAGCCAACGAAATTTGCATAGACTTTTCCACATTTTCGTTGCTAACCCAAATATTGAATGACAGTCTTAGCTTTGCAGCTTTCACTGTCTGGTTCGATCGATAATATCAAGAAGACCATTCATTTATTTTGACAATTTTAAGCACTTAAAGAGCTCTGCAATTTGCTTAACTATTGAAGTAATTTGCACGAAATGCAAGAGAAACCAAAACTATTAAAATTAATGTCTAGTTCGTGGATGAAGTTTCAAATTATGTTTGATACGATATTTGATTGCAACGAAATTTTTTGTTCAAATCATATCGTTTAGGCGACAGATTAAGCTAAGCTAAAAGATGCTACTTTTTTCCTAAATCTATGACTTCGCTTTAAACAAAAGAGCTTTGAAAAAGGTTGCTTAGCTCTTTAGATTTGGTCAATGCATTGATGTATTTCGCCCCATAAGAGACCTGAAAACAACAGATCTCACAGCATCTGGAGGTAAAGGCTTCAATATCATTGCACTGAGGTCGTCTTTTTATTCAACTTTCACTGACCACTGTAAGCCACTGTGGTGAACATCGGATTTCATGTTTTTCATCTCATTGAATGTTGTAGACTCTTTTCAGTTTATGAATTGTTACTGTCATTATTGGGACAATTGTGCTCTCTTTGACTTTATCATGTTGAATAACGTATTTGAGTTCAATCACTGAGCTCGAATATCCAGCTTTCGATTGAAGGAAACTTTTTTCCTAATCATTTGTTTGACTTTCAATTTTCAATTTGTTAACTGCAATTTTGAAATAAACTGAACACGAATTGAAAAAGGACAGAGAAGATGTTGATGAAGATGAAGATGGCAAGTAAACAAGATGAAATAAAGTTGAACTCGAGTTTAGCCGAGCGTAAACAGGAAAAGGCAAAGTTTACTTTTTAAATGATAGTAACCTCAACCTGGCTTGGTCTTGATGCTTCATTCAGATTCTTAGCTCGATGTTTCAAGATTATTGAATTGAGATTCTGAACTGATTTCAGTTTATTAGATAAACAAGTTGACTAACAAACAAAACTAAACAAGGTAAACAAGAGAGGCATTAAAAAAAGAGGAACCATAAAATGATAGAAAAAAAGAACAAGTAATAAAGAGTAAAAAATTTCGTCTAATGAGGGTTAATTTAAGGTCAAAAAATCAGTGACATAGTA